AAATAAGTATATCACCTATAAAGGAACTAAATGAACTCTTTTAAAAGCATGTAAGCTAGATGGTATAAATTGGGTCCGGGCCAGGGATATAGCTCAGTGACTTACCTGGCAAGTAGCATATAGTTTATATTTGATTTTGTGTGTGTGTGTTCCTTTTTTGCCTACCTAGCAAGTGGAAGGTCCCAAGTTCAATTCCCAGTACAAAAAAGGAAAAAATCAGGTCAATTTGTGTTCCCCTGTGTTTAGAGGAGAGGTTTCTGGAAGACAAGTACATCACAGGATCACTAACTTCATCAATGAATTAATCTATTGATGAGTTTATATTTATTTATTTATTTATTATATTTGGTACAGGGTCTCACTATGCAGCTGGGACTCCTAGTGATCCTCCTGTCTTCAGCCTCCTTAGCACTGTGATTACAGGTGTGTGCCACCACACCTGGTCTCGATGGCCAGCTCAGTGCATGGGGCGGGGGGGCAACACAGAATGTGGCGCTGGGGATCAAACCCTAGTCCCCATGCTTGACTAAGCAGGCACTTAGTCCACTGAGCTATCTCGCCAGTCCTACTGATGAGTTTATACCTGAATATGCTCTTAGGATGGGAGGCCCTGTAGGAGGAAGTAGATCACTGCGTATGTAACATGAAAGGGAGCATTGCTGGAGTGGGGAGATAGCTCTGTGGTCTAAGCACCTGCCTGGAATGCGCAAGGACCAGGGTTCAATCCCCAGTACCACATGCTGTGCCAGCCACATGCCAAGCTGGCCACCAAAACTGGGCTTGGTGGCACATGCCTATAATCCCAGTGCTGGGGAGGCTGAGACAGGAGGATCACTATGAGTCTGAACTGTGTAGTGAGACCCTGTACCAAGGGAAGAAGGAAGGAAGGAAGGAAGGAAGGAAGGAAGGAAGGAAGGAAGGAAGGAAGGAAGGAAGGAAGCACTCGTTCCTGGCTCCTCCTTCTCTGGCCTTTCCCAGCTCTGCAAATCCTGCATCTCAAGGAGAGGGCTGCTTTCCTCTGCCACGCCTTCCTGCCATGATACTTCTACCTCCAATCCAGCCAACCATTTACTGAAACCTCTGACACCTTGAACCACAATAACCCTGTCGTGCTATAAATTGTGTGTGTACAATATTTTCTCCTGGAGATGGAAATTGACTAAGACACAAGAGAGTGGAGTGAAACACTTAATGTCTTGAAAGGCAAAAACCACCAACCCAGAATTCCATATCCACTGAAAGTGTACTTCAAATATAAAAAAGAACAAAAAAGATTTTCATGTAAACAAAAGGTGTTAGGATTTCTCATGCACAGATCTTCCTCAACAAAAAAAAATAAAAATTAAAGAAAATCTTCAGAGAGAAAAATAGTAATATACCTCAGAAGCTTAACTATACATAAAGAATTTTCATCTCTTCTTTATAAAAGAAGATAAAGAATCAAAGAAAATAAAGATGACAAAATAATTCTAAAACTATTCAATAAAAAGAGAGAGAGAGAGAGAGAGAGAGAGAGAGAGAGAGAGAGAGAGAGAGAAAACAAAGGGCTAGCGAGATAGCTAGCAAATGAAGTGCCTGCTTAGGCAAGTGCGTGGACCAGGGTTTGCTCCCCGCCATGACATGCCACACAGGCCCTGTCCCCGGGCGTGCTGAGCCAACCCCGGGGGCCCAGTATGGCTGTGCATGCCTGTAATCCTAGTGCTGGAAAGGCTGAAAACAGGAGGATCACTAGGAGTCTGATCACTAGTGAGACCCTGTACGAAATACATTTAAAAAAAAAAAAAAGAAAGTAGCATATATTTTATGAAGGTTTTTTTGTTCTTTTTAAAAATTTTATTGGTGCAATTTACATACACAAAAAGATAATGGTCATCATGGGGAGTTTCTATATGTTCATGATACATCTTATTTCTTTTTCCCCCATTCACACAAACCATAACAGGGTCAGTCACTTTTATTTAATCTTTCTAAGAACTAGTACTCTAATTTATTGATTCTTTATATTGTTTGCTTAGTCTCCAGTGCATTAATTTCTTCTTTGATCTTTATAATTTCCTCCCTCTCTCCCCGGCCCAAGAGAAAGAGTCGGGACGAGGGCGCGAACCGGCGACCTCGCGCTCCATGGCCCGGCGACCTCGCGCTCCATGGCCCGGCACCCAGACCGCCGCGCCAGGTCGCCGCCTGAACATTATGCCCTTTATTTGAGCTTATTATAATTCCCTTTTTTCTGACATGGGAATTCATCATGATAAATTTCTCTTATAGGACTGCTTTCATTGTGCCCCATAACTTCTGATATGTTATACTGGCATGATCATTTAATTATAGAAACTGTCTAACTTCTTCTTTAATTTCATCTGTACTCTACTGGTTGTCCAGGATGGTGTTATTTCACTTCCATTTATGAAATTCTTGTAATTTCTTTTGCCATTGATTTCCAGTTTCATTGCAGTATGGTCTGATAATATGGATGGAATAATTTCAATTCCCTTATATTTACTTGAGCATATTCTATGAACTAGTATGTAGTTTATTTTGGAGAACATCCCATGTCCAACTGAGAAGAATGCGTATTCTGATATTATGGGGTAGAATACCCTGTAGACATCAACTAAGTCCATTTGTTCAAAAGTTTGGTTCAGTTCTGATACTTTTTTCCTTTTTTTATGTCTAGTTGATCTTTTATTTGTGACAGTGGAGTATTGATGTCCCCCATTACAACTGTACCAGTGTTTATTTCATTTTTCATGTCTATTAATAATGTTTTATATAGTTGGGTACACTCATATCTGGTGCATATGTATTTGGGATTGTTGTTGTTCCTCTTGAGTTGTTCTCTTTACAAGGATGTAGTAATTTTCTTTGTCTCTCTTAGTCCGTCTTGGTTTCAAATCCACTTTGTCAGTAAATAGAATAGTTACCCCTCTTTTTTCTTGGTTCCTTTCACATGTGATATTGTCTTCCCATCCTTTGACTTTCTGTCTATGAATTTTTTTTTAACCAAAACACTTGAAACTTTATTTGGATCAGAATTACACTTGTCAAGGACCTAGGCAGTATCTGCCTCTGTATAGCACCGATTCCTTCGCTAATCGTTAAATGCTCCAGCTGTTCCAGACTGGCTCTCCAGGTGTCCTAAGCGTGGTCACATCAGCATCCATGTCCAGGCATATTCAGGGCTCCAGTTTTTCCACTCCCCCTTATATCGCACAAGTCTTGCAGCCAGCAGGTAATTCTCCCCTTTTCCCTACCCCAGCGAACCCTGGCACACTCCAGAGTGGTTTTTCACAGTTCCTCCTTCTCCTCCCCCTTCTTCTGGAAGGCAGTTAGGATGTTTAAGCTCTTCTGGAGCTCCTCTTTTTTCCCATCACTCATCTTATTCTTCTCAATCAGCTTTGTGATTCGAGACATCTCTGTTGCTGGGAAGTCCTCGCCTTGATCTAGCACTTTCCCCATGATTTTCAGGTATTGCTCAGCCCACTTCTTTTCAGTCTCTTTCACACTTGACAGGTTGTCCTGCCCCTGCTTCAGGAGGGCCTGGCGGGCGTCCACACTAGAGGCCCTGATGAAGTCCCCTGCCAAGGCGTCATAGGCAGGCAGGCAACCAGGCATCCCCAGGTACACCCCCTGCCCCTTTAGCCAGCGCTGGATGGCTCCAACCTTAACTGTGCCACCGTATGGGACTGGGTTCTCAAAGTCCCCATCCCAAAAGACATAAAAGACCAGCTAGTTCTCTCTGTCCACCTTGTATTCTGCACTCAGCTCCATGTTCAGTTTGTCACCATAATCTTATAGCAAGTGATTATATCCAGGGGACTGGCACCCTTAGTGTGCAGGCTGCTGCTGCCATGAGGATCGGAAAAAGCAAAAGACCCAGGAAAAGGGGAAACAGAGAAAAGAGAGAAGTGACACATGGTATGGCAGCAGCCATAGCGCAGGATCCTGGGAGCCAGAGCAAATTTTTTTAATTAAATGTGTTTCTTATATGTAACATGTTGCTGAATCTTGCTCCTTGATTCATCCTGCCAGTCTTTCTTTTGATTTGTGAATTGAGAACATTCACATTGATGGCTATAACTGACATGTATCAGCTTATCCCTGTCATGTTATTTTTATGTTGTTGGTCCCCCCCCACACATACCCCCATCTAATTGATAGCCTTGCCCAGTGAATTCATTCTGTTGGGGCTCGTGGAGTTATAGTCCTTGTTATCACATTCTAGAATGTTATTTAGAACATTTTTGGGTGGGTTTGGTGGTCATGGATTTCTCCTGATGTTCTTTGTCATGGAAGTGTCTTATTTCTCCATCAATTTTAACAGAGAGTTTTCTGGGGTATATCAATCTGGGTGGGAAATTTTGTATTAATACTGTACAGACAAGATATCATGCCTGTATTTTCGATTCTGAATAACTACTAGGAGAACAATACACAATGTATCAACTATTTTATTTTATTTATTTGTTTATAATAATTTTATTGAGAAATAACAATGAGATAGTTTCAAAACTGATTAGTAGGACAGTGTCAATAATTAATACATTGCATATTGTTGTCTTCTTAATGGCTATTCATAGTACAAGATGCAGACATGATATCCTGTCCAAACGCTACTAGGAGAAATCTTTCTTCTCCTTGAATTAAGAGAAAGTAGCTGTATATTTATCCTAACTATTTTGTATATACAGATACAAAATGGTCCTTCATTTGTATCCCTTTTCTATGTTTAGTTTTGTCAGAGATGGGTATTCTATTGCCATTTAAATATTGTAGGTGCGTGAATTCAGCAAAATTTTCCAATATAGGCCAGTAGTCCATAATAGTAGTGGGTTATCTGTAAGACTGGCAATGTCAGAAGTTGTTGACTTGGGCCTTTAACAGTTCAACGTATTAATATGGATTTACTTTTTATACTTCATTTTTATGCTTTTCTGCTGGATGGTTAAGACCAAGATAAAGCAAGACCTATATAACAAGAAATGCAACTTTTTTTTTTTTCTTTCTTTTCTTTCTTTCTTTTTTTTTTTTTTTTTGCGGAACCAGGGATTGAACTCAGACCCTTGCCCTGCCAAGGAAGCGCTTATTCTACTGAGCCATCTCCTCAGCCATAGAAATGTAACTTTTCTATCTGACAAGGGTCAGTCAAATCCCCTCAGGATTTACCCTGAAACCCTGCACCGCAGTTTGTAGATCCTTTGTCAGTGAAAGTCATGTGGATGCTTGACCAATTTGCTCTCTGTGAAAGCCTGAGAGAATGTTTTCTCTCCATGTGCTTGCTTGCTTCCTTTCCTTCCTTTTTTTCTTTCTTTTAGTTTAATTCTAAACTAAATTAGAATCTGCAGGTTTGAGTCCCCGCATGCACATAGCAAGTCAGGGATCAGGGAGGAAGCATCTGTTGCCATTTCCTTCTTCCCTGAGGTTTCTCTCTTTGCTCTCTCCATGAACTTTGATTCTTACTTCAGATCCTTCTTCTCTTCTTCATCTTGCTATATTCCAGGTCTAGATAGCAAATCTCAGAGAGGCTGTTTTTCTGTTCTTCACCAGTCTGTCATCTTCCCAAAAGTGATTTTTCTTATTCATAACTGATAAAACAGATATCATTTTATTCAAAATTATGATGCAGTAAAAATGAATTTTGTTATTATAACTTATAGATAAGTAGTTTTTTTGTTTTGTTTTGTTTTGCTTTTTGGCAGAACCAGGAGTTGAACTCAGGCACTTGCGCTTACCAGGCAAGTGTTTATTCTACTGAGCCATCTTCCCAGCCCCTGATAAGTAGTTTTAAAAGGAATGAGATGTGGGGGCTGGTGAGATAGCTCAGCAGACTAAAGCACCTGCTTAGGCAATTGCAGGGACCGCAGATCCATCCCCCATACCACATGCAGCACCAGCCCTGTCCCCAGGGCAGGCTGAGCCAGCCACAGGGTCCAGGAGTGATGGTGCAGGCCTGTAATCCCAGTGCTGGAGAGGCTGAAAACAGGAGGATCACCATGAGTCTGAGCTGTATAGTGAGACCCTGTAACAACCAAATACATTAAAAAAAA